GTTCCTTTTCAGATTTTCAATAGCAATGCAGCAAAAAAAAATAGGTTTCAGTTAGTGCGAATGGCCTTTCCTTCTTTTTTCTTTCTTTTCCTTTATCCTTTTTTTTTTTTTCTCATAAAAGTGGGTTTTTTTTCCAAGGTGCGAGGGGCACGATCATTGGTTTCACTGCTCGAGCGTTCCGTTCCGTTCCGTTCCGTTCATTCGCCGGAGTAATTAGGGGCGCTTATACGTGCGCGGTTCAGGCGTACTTGACATTTTCTATCTGCAAACTGCTCACTTTTTCAGGCTTAAAATGTGCCATAAGCCTATACTTTGCCCAAACGTTGCTCAGAAATGCAAACTTTTTCGAGGTTACCAGAGCCACAGAAATTTTGCTTTTAACACCAGAGGTGCTCTAAAGTTACGCAGGTTTTCTACCCCCGACCTAGCTAGTCTGAAATGTTATGCGTTTCTTCGCCCCACCCCGAACGGGCTGCGGCCCCTTGGGGGGTGGGGGAAAAGGACGGATAACATTTCAGACTACGACTTACATACATACATACACACCTACTTTATTGAGAATCCCTTCAACAGGGCTTTTCAGTCACAATGTTAATTATTACATAATACTAGTAATTAAGAATAAAACAGAAAACTTATTTACAGTAGTTCAATTAAATTCAAAATACATTCAGAATTATTCAAAATATATTCAAAATTATTTCGTATGAAATATCCTATTAAAAAGTCTCCGCTTAAAGCTATCAATATCTTTAGTGTTCCTAATATTGTCAGGTAGCCCATTCCATTCCTTTGGACCCCGAAAATAAAATGCCCTTTGTCCCATTGATACTCTACATCAGGGGACCACAAAATTGTTACATCCCCTTGTGTTGTTGTTGTGAACTGCTGAACATTTAATAAAATATTTACCTAAATAATCTGGAACTAAGCCATTTACACATTTGAATACTAAAACTAAGTCAATAAATAGAATCTTCTCCGTAACATCTAACCATTTAAGAGATCTCCGTCCCTGGGAGATATGGTCAAACTTCTTTAAACCTAATACAACTCTGGCAGCAAAATTTTGTAGCAACTGCAGTTTGTGTACGTTACGTTTAGATGTGTTCCCCCATACTGAGGAACAACAAAAAAGTTTACTGAAAACAAAGCTATTTATAAGTAATAAAAGGGTTTTCCTATCCAAAAGATGTTGAATTCTACCTATCTGTACCAACTGGTTCATGCAGCTAGAGACTGTTTTAGTAACATGTACATCGTAGGTAAGATATTGATCAATGTATACCCCGAGATCCCTAGCAACTGACACTGGTGAAATAGTTTTGCCCAACAGGGATAAGGAGATATGAGGTAGCCTCTTAATAAGTTGTGCGGAGCCAACAACCACTAATTTTGTCTTCTCTGGGTTTATGAGTAGAGAATTCTTTGCACACCATTTACTGATGTCCCTAAGATCTTGGTTTACGGCTGCCGTAGCACTTGATGAGTCTGATACAGAAAATTTAAGGTGCAATTGGCTGTCATCAACATATGCAGCGGGTTAGCTATGGGTAATAACACTGATTAAATCATTAATGTAAATAGTAAAAAGCATAGGACCCAAGATCGAACCCTGAGGTACTCCATTTGTTACGGGTAACAATTCTGAGACTGAATCTTCGTATCCTACTCTTTGGTATCTACTTGATAGGTAGCTACTAAACCAGGAAATTACGGAAGCTTTGAAACCCAGTTTTCGTAATTTTCCTAACAATAGGTTATGATTAAGGCTGTCAAAAGCTTTTGACACATCAAGCAGTACTAGTAGCAAGGCATATTTTTCATCGACTGCTTTCAAAATGTTATCTGTAAGATTTATAAGGGCAGTTTCTGTCGAATGCATTTTTCTGTTGCCACTTTGATAAGTCGACAGTTTGTCATGCGTTGTCAAAAATTCCACAAACTGCTTGTGTGCCAGTCTCTCACTTACTTTCGATAGGATGGGTAACAATGAAATCGGCCTGTTGTTGGCTGGTTCCTCTGAGTTTCCTTCTTTGGGTACAGGTATCACCTCAGCAATTTTCCATGCTTTAGGAAGAGCAGCCATCTTAAATGAATTGTTCACCAATCTAGAAATCACAGGTGTGATGCTCTCACAACTGTCTTTCAGGACTCGTGCTGAGATTTTATCATATCCTGGTGCTTTGTTGGCAGCTAAACTCTTAATGACAGACTTGACGTCAGTTTGTTTTACATCTTGGAACTCAAATGCTTCTGTTTCAACGTGTAGGCCAGTGTCAATGCTTCCCCCCTAGAACCACATTCTTCATCCTAACCATTTTTCCCTTTAATGTCATTTTTTAAGACTAAAAGTAAGGAACTCATAATCCTATTTCAAAACGAACGTGATGGAAAACAGTACAGTGGAACCTCGATTTAAGGAAGGGCCAAGGTATTGACAAAATTTTAGGGCTCCCCAACGACGGTTTCCTTCTAAATTCATTGAAAAACCCTTTATAGCGTACGTAACCAAAGTACTTTTAGATTTCTAGAAATGCATTCTAAGCGGCGCTATAGAATTTGTATCTGTTCGGTCATCGAATTTACAGGGGGCTTCAGTATTATTTTTTTGGAAATAATATGCAATTTAGCGTATCACGAAAGTGAGAATTTTTTTTATTCCTCTCTCAATCACATATTTGAATCCGGACAGTTTAGGTTTCCTTTTTGCTACGAAAAAATAGCCTAACCTGGGATGTAAAATGTGAAAAATTAAACTTCAGAAAATCGTAGGCAATTTATCTGGCTTGGCGCACGCTACTGGTGTACACGGCCAAAAATCTCACATCGTTTGGCTCTTATGAACTCATTTAAACTCGGATCGCATTGATATTTGGCAAGAAGTTGAGGTTTATGAAGAGCTTTCCCTTGCATACTTTTGTTCTGGATATAAGACCAAAATATAACGAAAATTTGGAAAATATGGCCTAAAATGGGGCAATTTTTGAACACCGCGCGTAACATTTACAGTCTAACCTCACAAACTGTGTTATTTCTCTGCTTCTGTTAATGGTACTTAAAAGAAAATTCTCCACGGAGGTCAGTGACTTATGAGTACTCACTGTATTAAAAATTACAGAACGTAATTGCAAAACAACAACGTTTGGGGCGTTTTCAGAAAGGTGTTCCGTCTACATCTTATCTCAGTGCAGCCCGAACGTCAATTTAAAAAATCGCTTTTGATGAACTTCCCTTTCTTGCTAAGGGGAGAAAAAATAAATTTTGGAATGCTCATAAGTTAAACTTTACTAATATATCAATTGTTAAATCGTCAGGAAACGCATTTTTAAGCTAGCATCAAATATGTAAGGTTAGACAGCGTTTTTGAACGTGAAAATTCTTAAACCGTGCGTTGGACCAAAATTCAGATTCTAAAGCGTGCTTTAGGCACAAAATGTTTGTGCCCTAAACGTGCCTAAGATGTGCATAAAGTGTGCATCAAATCATTTTTATTCGTGCCTAGGCCGTGCCTAAAATGTGCCTAATGTGTGCGTAAGTTGTGCCTCAGCTGTGCTCAAGTTGTGCCTAAATCGCCTGGAAATCGTGCCTAACTTGTACCAGAACAATTATCGTGTTCAATCGCGTTTAAAAGACTCCCAAAGATTTTGTCTACGCTCTTGGTACTTACAAGACCCGTCGAAGTTGTCACAGATTTAACAGCTAAAACGATGCTTTTTTGAATCCATATTGAATGTTGTTTTAGCCGCATCCACAGCAGTAGTTTTGGCGACGTGGTCCATTTTGAAATATGGAATTGCCTCACCTCATATTTCAGAACTCTAAACAAAAAATACACGAAGGGCGGCGATGGCAAGACAGCAAGTAAAATCATACTCTAGCCAGTGTACAGACACTTATTCCTGAGCCATTTGCTGCTTAACATATTCTAAAGAAAAATTCGAGCAGTTGTTTTAGCTTGCACTCGATTTGTTGCTGTGATAAACGCTTCTAAAAGAAATCAGCCATCGTTTTTACGGGAAAACCTCGCAAGAGAAAGGCCTGTGACCCAACTATCCCAGAGAGCCCAGCGAGGATTCAAAAACAAACAAAATGGCGGTCAAATCTTGCAGTTCCGGACCTGTATCTTTCTCGAGTTCGTTTATTGATTTCTAGAAATGACGTCCACAGATCTTGAGCTTTGTGAAAATTTGAAAAGTTTACCAGCTCGAAGAAAAAACTTGGGCCAACATATTTGGCTATTTACGAGCGACTTAGTGGAGTTAATTTCTCCAGATGGTACTACTGCGAACTATGCACTTGCAAGTTTCCACAAGGTTCTTTCCAGGTCAAGAGAATTCTGAAAGCCGATCGCAGCAAATTTTAAGACCTTGTATGGAAAAGATGAGTTGAAATTGTAAGTTTAATCCTATATTTCGGGAAAAGATAGGCTTCAAATAGAGTATTTATTTTCTTCTTGCTGAGAGCTTTCTTTTTACGCAGCTCTAAAATATCCCATCCTTAGACATTTCTTTGGCGAAAATAACCTTTTCCCATAAATTTTCCTATACCACTTGGGCCCCATTATGAATGTAACGCAAGAACCTCGCCATATTATCCCAAATTTCTGGCAATACTATTACTATTCGTTTCTATTCAGATCAATCTTTATTTCACCACGTACTTACAACAGTATTTTACAAGATATTAAAAAAGGAAAAAACTGAAGAACCTGCCCTGCTTACTCTCTGGGGTATTAATTTTCACTTAAGATTACTGCGCTCGAAATTTTACGAGATGTTCAACGACCGGAAACACCACTGACACATTATTAATACAAATATTATTAATATTTTAAACACGCTTTTTGAACTTGTTCGTGCAAACGTTCCCCAGTACTTGGCCTAAAATCTTAAAAAGTTCTTGTCTGCATATGTCTGTTAATTTAGTTTGTTTGTTAACATTTTTTTCTGACAGACGCCGAGCGCACTATTTTACTCCTTTCGGCTATTAATTAGCCTTTAAAAGCCTTCTAGCGATTGCAGAATATCCAAATGCTCTTGTTCGCTTAGAACAATAGTTTCATCACGTAAACACTGTAGATCAGTACACACAAATGCCGCTGTCGCTGCGTAAACGATCGCTTTCCGAGCACTATCCATCTTGTAGTTACGACTCGATCCTCGTTTGGGGAGAAGGAAGTGACCACACAGTATTTCCGCGCCTGCCGGATACAAAATTCCCCAGTCATCTTTGGTAGGAGTTTGTAACTCTTCTGGTCCCTGGCCTGTTACTTTGATGAGGTAATAATCCTCGCCAGGATCTCCTGAAGCTATGGCAACAACACTGTTCTCTGTGATTAAGTCTTTAATGCCAACCCGCTGATCCACTGTTTCACTTCTTGTCACTCTGCGTTGGCCACCCTCTTGCTCTAATTCAATTTCTTTCCAAGGTTCCACCCATTCTCCATTTTCACAATCGAACTGGTCATCAATGCAGCTGTCACAGTAACAGGACAGAAAACGAGTCTTAATTTTCAAACCAGTCAAGTCACCTGTGGCCGCAACGCTGTGAATCTGTCTACTGCCTTTGATTTGCTTGAATCGTCGTTGTCTGTTTCGACGATGCTGCTCCACGTAGAAAAAGATTCTCCGTTCAAGCCCCACGCTCTGTGACTTATAACGGGCCGAACTTGGCTCAGTCAATTTTTGTTTCGCGTAATTGTAGAGGTCATGTGCATTCTGAACAACAACTTGGCGCCTAATCACTGCCATATCTACTTTGTGCTTTAAATTAGCACCTGCTCCGTCCTGAGGTCCTTTTGCGTGAGACGTTTCGAAGTAGTTTCTCACCGTTAAAAATCCGAAATCTGCTACTGAAAAGCTGAGATCGCCCATACAGTGACAACTCTTGTACTGAGCTGCGCATCCGTCTGTCCATTCGTGCATAACCGTTAACGGATACTCTATTTCGCGTAAATAATCAACTACAACACTTCTACACTCGTGTACTGAATCATGGTCATGTTTAAGATCCGGCGAAATGACAAACAAATGTTCAGTTACAGTTTCTTGACCGTCAATAATCTTATGCCCGTTTTCTTCTTGTACTAGTTTATGGCGGTGTAAAATTGTCACGTGAATAGATGCTTGTGCCTGAGCAAAGTAGAGGGTTTGGATTTGATCCTGGTACCGACAGCAGTAATTTTCGGAATAATCGTGAACACAACACACGTGACCAGGTGGTAGGCTATCAACATTTCTCTTCATTTGTTCTTGTTGCCATTTTGCTCGAAACTGGTGTGCTGGGAACGATTCAAGGAGAGTTTTGAAATAAGCAAACATCTCCCCTGCTTTCGACGTTTTAGTCACGATCTTGAGACGTCTCTTTTCTTCTCCTTCATTTGAAATAGATACGTATTCAAACCGTTCCCATTTCACCTCGATAGCAGATTGACTTGTGTCTTCCTCCTTTGACATTAGCTTCAATTTCGTTACTCCACAATGTTCACATTCACGGTTGATGCACGTAAGGCGGTGATATGGATTATCTCCTTTGTTACACAGTGTCTCGTTTACTAAGTCTGATAGATGTTCGAAAACAGGATACGATTCTGAATCGGCTTCTTCTCGTCCCTGTAAAATGTTTCTTCTGAATGTCATGCATGTTTTAAAAAGCATTCTGACTTCAACGTGTGCGCGGCAACAACATGACTGTCTGTCTTGTGGTCTGGCTTCAATGACGTAGAATGGCTTGCACTTCTCAAAGGCCCTCTGACCTAAATCAATGTCTGGAAACTTTGCTTTGAACTCCTCGTAAACCTCCGTTTGGGTTTTCTCTAAGACTTGTTTCTCGTGAAAGACGTATTGTTTAGGACCAACACGTTCCCTTTTTATGTCTTTTTTGTTGCCAGTTGGTCGGGATATCTCTGGACTGCTCCAAAAGTCTTGAGCTATCTGCTTGACTTCCTCGCTGATGGCATCACTACGAGTTTTTCTTTTTGTTAGCTTCCACAGGGCGTCTTTGTCGCAGAAAACATTTTTGTTTTGAGTCACACTCATTGCCACTCTTCGCCTGTTTATGTTTAGGGCCTCTGATAGGCTTTTTCGCATTTTTCCTTCAGCGACTGACGGTCCACATAACATAGAGAGACCAATTGAGACGGTGGCTCGAGCTCCATCGGAACGCCTATGCTTTGTGGCTTCTAAGACTGTTGACACGTCTTTAAGTAACGCTCGGGCCAGTTTCACCTCTTCCTCCTGCTCTGGAGTGTTAACAGTCGCTGCTGCGCTTAGTGCCTTTCGGGTGTTTGGGCTTTCCAATAGTGCTGTTAGCACCTCCGTTCTCCTCCTAGGCGACCCAGGCAAGGCGTTCTTTGCCGTTTCGATGGCCCTTTTTTTCGCCATCCTTGATGGAAAAAATGAGGCGGCTGTTCCATGGCTATCTTCGTTATCTACCTCATCTGACACTTTGGACTGAAATGCACTGTCCAATCGCTTCTCTTTTCGCGCCTTCGAGATATCATTTTTGTGTTTTTGATAGTATTCTTTTGACTTTAAACGACTGGCTTCTTTCTTTTTTTCTCGCCACTGCTTTATCGCGTCTGCTTTTGACTTACTTGGATCATCGGCCATCATAGTCAGGTCCAATGCGACCAAATTATTGCAGTTCATCCTTTTTATAAGAGCCCCTAACCTGTGCGTAAGTGTATTAAAAGCGTGCATTTGCATCAATAACGAGCACATCTGCCTCAAAAGCATGCATATTTGCCTTAAAAGCGTGCTCATTTTCTCAATAACGTGCGCATTTGCCTCAATAGCGTGCGCATTGACCATTATCGCGCCTTCACACACAATAAGCGGCACGAAATTCGATCCTGGTACAAGTATATCTGAGTGTTGCACCAAAAACAAAACGGCAAGTACTACATGGCTGCTATTCCTGCGCAACGCGCAATCGTTTTAAGGAACTTTAAGTGCGATAATCTAAAAAAAATAAGATGCATTCAGATTTTTAACAAACATATGAGATTACTGGGCACGGATTTAGTATGCTTTGTTGAAGGCACGATTTAAGCACGGTTTGCGAGTTTCCAAAAGCGCGGAGTGCGCGCATGCGAAAACAACTCAGTGTTTGGATGTTAGGGTCAGACTTCTAAAATTAACTGTTATTCAAGGACGAACTACGACCTGAAATGGAAAGCTTGCCAGACGAAATTGTACTCCTTATCTTTTCCTACGTACCGGCAAAAAACCTGTTTCAGTCAGTTTCGGTAGTAAGTAAGAGATTCAATCGTCTCGCTTACGATTGTTTCTTAGTGCGTAGATCTGGACGCCTACTAGAGAAGATTAATCTCGAGAGGAAAAGCAAGCCAACTATGCAAAAAGTCCGAGACATTATAGCTATGCTACCTTCAACAACTATGAAGTATATTTCGATTCAGGATTGCTTTGCTGCATGGGAAGTGCTAGATGTCTTAGCAGCTACCTGCAAGAGTCTGAGGATTTTAAACCTAGCTTCATCGAGAGAAGCCCCAAAGCTTAGCAAGAAGATAAAACCGTTTATGTTTAGTCAATTACTGGAACTAAATGTCAGTTACACACTTATAGATGACAACTTTATTCACCACCTCAGTCAAAGTTGTAAAAAGCTTTACTCTTTAAACATGTCTCACTGCCCGAATGTCACTGACACTGGCTTAACGACCGTCAGTTTCAACTTGACGCTATTGAATATTGCACACTGCCACTTACAGTTTGAGACAGTTGTTTATACTTTGCGCGAATTTGACGTTCAGGTCTTATGCATGCAAGGAATATGCACTGGATTGAGAGAGGGACTAAGACTTGTCGCGATTTTCCCTTTATGTCTTGAACTTGGTATTCCTACTATTTGTGGCTTTACTTTGCCTGGTTACCAGGATTGCCAACCAAGGCTATGCTTTTGGTGTAAAAACAGCAGCAATTGTACATTTCTCACATCTGATGATGATCCGGACAAACTCTACGAGATATAGTTGCCCTTACTTTTTTATAGATATATTGCATGTATTATGCAGGATTCAGCCATAAGACAGACATTGAGCAGATTCAAAAGTGTAAGTTCAAGCTCATGATAAATAATTTAATAATCTTGGAAAACTGGTACATGTATTTTTGGTTGATAAGGCTCCTTCTTTCTGAAAACGGAGTTATTTTAATTACAATAAGAAAGGCTCGCAAACAAACTACAAAGTCCATTGATAAAGTGTGTCCTCTCTAAAAAGTAAAATAAAGGCCGTCCTTGTGGCAACTGTGTTTAAATCACGTGTCGAGGTTACCTCATGTTGGCCGGGTTCATACGTCCCGATAAACGCTGTGGATTATACCATAAACATGTATCATAATTATGAAAGATCGAGTGGCTGTTTTTTTTCTTTTGATAACAAAACCTTTTGCTATAAAATAAGTTTTAGAATATCTGTACGATGTTTAAGAGTGAGTACCCTTGTCTGCTTCTCAAAGCTAGGAAAAATATGCTTCACTTAGTTACTTGATTTTGGGGGGCCGGATTGACCTGTAGCTTTTACCGGTAGAAACACTGCGACGGTCATTTTAACGAGGAGTGATCTTGTGCAACTTGATGAACAAATTCAGATTTTTCATTTAGGTTAAATGAAAGAATTTTTCTTTGAGCTTTGATAAGAGATTTACGAATTTGAAGTACAACTCCAAGGGTTAAATTCCACTCGAGAATACACTTGCTATCAAATCAATTGGCATTAATTATTTTCCACCAGCATCCTACTCGGAAGTCCTCGACAAAATGTAAATTTCTCAGGGAAGGGAGGGGGGGAGGGGGTACTCCCTTATATAAGCCATACAGGTATGTGCCGCCTTTTTGGTCTAAAAACTGGTATACACTTTGCCCGTTTTAATCTGGAATCGGGTATGTTTTTCCAAGGAACTTCGTGAGTTTCGGGAGTGTATGAACGTATTTATTGTTTCAATTCCAGATGAATAAGCCGAAGAAAGACAAAAATGCGAATTCGAAGTGGATTTGAAGAAATCATTTTTGGTGCTGTTCTAATCTAAGTAATGATGACATAATTTCTTATAGGCCAGGTGTTAAGACGGGAGTGGAAAATAACATTTTTTCGGTCTGAAATAGGGTCAGGATTAGGAGAACCGGGCGGCACACCCTCACCAAGAATTTCAAGGAGTACCCCCGGGGAAAATTTAAAAAGAAAGTAGGTCGCAAGCTATTTACATTAATCCCAACTCAAATACAAAGATGCTTTACAAAGTGTCCTTTTGGTACTTTCGAAGGTGGGCGTTCATAGAAGACACACATTCGCCCCATACCTTGTCGGTGATTTGTGCCTCACCGTAAACTATGGTAAGACAATGTTTTATTTGTTCGACGCGTGCACGGTCAAGGGGATTTTTTTTCTGCGATCCGTACACACTTTTATCCTTCAGCTCTTCTTTTGAAAACAAGGCTCTCATGATATTACAGCTGAACTTCGTCATCGTCTTTGACTTTTCAGCCAAACGCATTATCTCGGTGGGGGATAGGTCTCCAGATGTCAGTGCGTCAGAATTTGCTGCAGGGGGTTGGTGATGTAGGGGATGTTGGTGAAACGCTGGGTTGGTTGGTTTGTACTCTTGTCGAAAACGAAGTGGAAGGTACGCTGTCTTGGTTGTTGCTTGTGAAGGTGGTCGGAGTGCAGCTTTGTAGGTCTGTAAGAAGATTCCTAGGAAGGACGTTGATTGGCGTGGTTGTTGGTGCGATATTTGGAAGGGGGGTGGTTGGCATGATGCTTGGCATGGATGGAGGTAGAAAGGTCGAAAGGGCTGACGGGAAGTTTGATAGGCAGTGATCGTTTGAGATGATATTCGGCATTGCTGTTGGATGCGGAAGAGTTGTGGGCAAGGAAAGGCTTGTCGGCAGGCTACTGAAAAGGGGGGGAGTTGGTGTTGGTAATTGACTTCCAAGTTTGAAAAGAACATGTTGGAGTAAAGTCATTATTTCCTGTAGCATTTGGTTATTTTGAAAGGTGTTGGTGATCAGGGCTGTCAGCTTTGAAGAGTCACTTGTTATAAACCCGGTATTCGATGCCTGACTGAATGTGTTTGGTACAGGATTGGGACTGGAAGGGCATGCAGTTAACAAGGCGGGAGAAGGGATATCTTTTACAAGCTCTTTTATTTTTTTGGCTAGTGCCTCGTCTTCTTCTTCATCTACCACTTCATCATCGATCGTGTGGAATCCCGGTGATGGGGTGGGGGTAGTTAGACACGTGGTTGGCGCAGTGTGGCTGGTTGGTACACTAGAAGGTGAACTGGATGGAGAGGATAGCCGGCTGGCCTCCTCCCTCTCCATTGTAACAAGATCTGAAGCATCGTCTGAAAATCAAAACAAAAAATGTAGCAAATTAATTTTATCGTTTCCGACATTTAAACTCAATCTGTTTATTTTGTTTAGGTGTTTTTGTGTAGATTGCTCTCAGCGTCTCCATTTTGTTTACGCGAATTAGAGGAAGGGCAGCAAAAAAGTATCGAGCGGAATGAGAAAGTCAAAGCCTGTGAACAGTACAGTTTTTGTTGCCTTTCCTTAATTTCCATTTTCTGAAGACTAAGACTAAGAGAGAATGAGCTCTCTTGCTAAGACATAAAATACGTTGAGACTTACACTTGAGGAATCTCTCATTTACAAATAACTTTGATCACCGCAATAGTAGAGACAATAATAAGTTCATTGTTGTCATAAGGGACTGTGCAATAATAACCCGGAGGGACAGGGGGGGGGGGGGGGTTGCGAAATGGGTGTAATATGCATGAGTGACTTAAGGGAAAACCTCGTTCCCCAAGGTGGTGAAGAAGGTGGCAGAAGAGATATGATGCTGCAGAGAATGACAGTTAAAACATAAAGGAAAAGTGCAGGAAGGCAGAAAACAGATTGCCCTTAAGTCTCAGACATAGAAAAAGTGTGTTGAACGTCCTACATTGGTCGAGCATTGCCTTACAATTTTACGATGACTTCACAAATCTCTTTTCAATTCGTACGTAAACGACAACAGATTTTTAAAATCCCCAAAATTTTAAACAGCAGACAGAGCTTTATCACGTTAGATCCATTACTCGGCCGTGTTTTGATCAAAAGTTCATTGTTGTTAACTTTACAAAACCTTCCGCGAAAAATTGTAAAATGACGAGGAAAAACTTAAGATATTAAGCAAAATAGAAAGCAGTGATCTCAGTCCCACACTCAGAAACAAAAAGGATAATAAAACATCCGAAAGCGCATTTGATTCTAGTCAGTGTCTATGGCGCAAAACAAGGGGATTGGTTACAACCGGGTTACCACTCTTTGTACCCCATATGGTAGATATGGCAAAGGGAGCTTTTTTGAAAAGTGGAAAAGCTACGTTAAATGTATGAATTTGAAGGAAAGCAGTCGAGAGTTTGTATGTATCAAGAGCTCTAATGGTTTGAATTTTAATAAATACATAATACCAGACAGGAGAGAGCAGTTGAAATCGAGCCTAGAACTACACTGTACTTAGGGCCGGCTTTATCGGGCTTTTAACAAACTACTTGGCCCGAGGAGGGGGGAGTCGTGGGCCTGAGTTTCAATTGACCGATGCGTTATG